CAGTGTCATCTCAAGGTCAATTTAAATGACAGAAGTAATTAAGACCCTTGACATTTAATTGGCACCAAATGGTGACAGAGCTGATCATATTCCATGGCAACGCCCCACTGAGATGGGTCATACCCAGTAGGTTGGACATGACTTGACCAGAGACTAAATTTGTTTTATTTATTGGTTTTAGGTTCCCATGTTCCAAATCTACAAAAAGAAAAAAAAAAGTCTTTGTCTAATATCCAAATGAGAACGTGCAAGATGATCAGGTGCTGTCACACGATAATGATAGATTAATCTATTGGGCTTCATGCTGTCACACACACAATTTGATTTTGGTAATTCCTTCTTGGCGTGTTATTCCCTTCAGTATTTTTCCTAGAGAGTCTCTTTGATTCAATTATAATAACTCATTTTCTACACAGAGAATCATATCACAACAGGGAAGACAAGGCTCATCCAGGGGCTGAGCTCACAATATAGGCTGACAGTCTTCCAAAAGCCATGATTTTATTATCACATCAGGGGTGGGTAGCTAAGTTGTTAAATAGAAAAAAAAAAACATCTTTCTCTGAAGAACCCTACCTCTCACCTCCCATTTAATACAAAACTGAAGACTTCCTAATAAAAGTTCCTTTCTTGCATAAAAAGTGTCTATACAAGGAGTCCCAAGTCCTATCCCAGTGTCCTATTGATTATTAATATTAATCTAAAAGAATGCATGCAGTTTTTTATCGTAGTTGTCCAGAAGTGACAGTCACTGTTATGTGAATGAAAGCATACAGGAGACGCAGACATTTGTATGTGCATGGAACACAACAAACATACTGCATGTGCATAGGTTCACATGACTGTGTGTAGCTACCAGTATGTCATGATAATAGTTGCAGTTTATTGTAGAAGGTACTGGTATGATATGCTGGATCTTTATGTCTTGGCAAATCTCTCATCCTATATCAGACCATAGTTTTCACCATGACATATAAATACATGTTAGTGCAACACATACATTCACGCATGTAAACATGCACACACACATGCACTGACACACATACAAACACACATACATATTAAGACATTCATGGAATCACCAAAGAATGATTTTGGCATTAAACAGTCTACTGTCATCTTGGAAAGACACACCTGTCACAGTGACACGTTTTCATGGTCATGTGATTCCATGGCCATATATCGTTAGCATCATGCCTGTAACTGATCAACCCACCTGAGGTATATAAAGGGATGCATGTTCTTTGGGAGGTAAGCCACATACACAGCTTCAATTGCCTTGCGTAGAGCACTGGAATCCACCAGACGGTCTGAAATGAGAAGTCAAATATAAATAAGCAAGACAGGCAAATATTATCTCTTGCCAATTATTTGGTAATTGATTTCATATTATTATAGATAATTAAGGCAAAGTTGAGCAGAGATCTTGTACGTAAATTACTCTTCCCACTTCATTGACAGAGGTATACTAAATAAAGCCAACTGTCACCAAGAGGTTTTACTAGTAATATTTGTAACCTTTTTAACAAGTAAATGCCTGTTATAACCTGACTGAGGTTATTTTTAGTGAATGACCACAAGGTAATTTGTAGAAGAGGGGGGTCCAAGATTCCCCCCCCCCCCCCCCCCATTGATAGAGTGCATTTCAATATATCTGGTAGTATATCTCTGTAAAAGAAGCATGTACATGCAGTGGTTTATTCCCTCTGGATGGCCTTGTGGTCAGAGCATGTGCCTCCAGAGTGGGAGAGGATGGTGAGTTCAACCTGTCCAGGGATATACCAGTCCTTAGTTGGTGGTACCTGGTATACCCCGCTTGGCACTCAGCACTTATGGGTTGAAACAGGGGTAAAGTTCCTGGTCTTTTATTCATTTGGTAGCTATCAAAACCTCCTACTCCAGCTGGGCTGGACTGTATGCTCCCCAGGGAGATAAGAACTAGTCTGTATCATGGCCAAAAATTTCATGATCTAATGTAAGGGACCATTCCCAGACCCTATCGTACTAACTCTGAATCAATCTATCTCCGAGAGGATTCTTGCTTAATTGCTTTCAGCTTAAGCAGCTTAGATGTCTGGCATGCCTACTGCTAAGGGGTAATTAATTATTGTTTAGTTGCTTCAGCAGGCGTACCAGACATCTAAGCTTCTCAAGCTGAAAGCAATTTAGTGAAAAACCCTCAGAGATGGATCAATCCTTTTAGATGGATCTAGGTATAGGAACCCAGCCACACTGAGAGGGATGTGGTGCGCAGTATACCTGGAACTTTGACTTTTTACTATTGATTGTCTTGGTAAATTACCAAACCATAAATATTATAATTAATTCATAATAATTACTAGTATTAGATACTTGGCTGGGACTGGACTTCATCAGATATTTTCATTCACCTCAGCTGTTAACAATTAAGACAGGCTGCCACAAAATGCATTCATCACTCCAACAAGTAAATTGAAAGATGAAATGAACAAAACTGCATCGATTGCAACCCACATACCATTCAGGTGGGGGGTCTTTATGTTCGACAGACATACCTGAACATTAATTGTGGAAGCACTGCCAGCTTTGATTTATTGTGTTCAAGAACTGCAACTAAAAAGGTCAAACTGGAATGGAACTCCGTAAAAAAGCCATCTGGACCTGTCATTTCCTGGGCCTATTTTTCTTAATTTGTGCAAATATCAAGCGCTTTCTTGATCTTAGACTACAAGTATGCTCCTTCTGTTGAAAGTCACTGACACAGGTACTTTTTAAGTATAGTTTATAAAGGAACCATCAGTCTAGAGGTGATATGTTAATCAAATAAATTTATATCTTTTTCTGGTTATACAAATAACTAAAAATCTCATATACGATATTATTTGAAAGTAAAAAAGTCCTGAGAAACTATACAGTACATGTATTAGGAGGTTGTTTACTATCTCTGCCACTGTGCTTACAGCAACCTTTCAGTGATTTTGAAGTTAATGATCTGCAACTTACTTCAGCAAATTGTTTTGCTGAGAAATCATTCCTAATTTGTTTTTTAAACATGCATGAAGTTACCGCTCCGCCAAGTACAATTTCTCTAAATAAAAATAGAATTACATTTGCTTGATACAGAAAGTTGTACGTCAAGTTTTTTTCCATCAAGACTAACACAATTTGATATTTTCTTTCTTTAAGATGCAATTTTCAGTTTGTCTTTATTAGGAAAAAATGGATAGAACAAGAGTTCAAATGTGACATGCCATGTAAAATGTCAAATGAAAAATAGTGGAAAATAAGAATGATTCACAATAAAGATGAGCACAGAGGGCTAGTCTGGGGCCAACCAGAAATGGCTGATTCCCCTTATAAAGTACATTCCCATATAAGAAACAAACATGGAATCTGATTTTATGACCAGAAAAGAGTACTCTGCTATGGCAGATGGGTGTCGAAACAATTGTTTTGTTTTCACTCTCTGAAATTTTGAAAAAATGCCCTCAAAGGAGGATAGATTTTTATATGAGAAAGCAGAAAGAAAGAAAGACTTGGACCATTACATATAATTCAATAATATAGCTCTATTCTATAGAATAATTTTTGACACTGATTTTATTTTAATAAACAAGTCCGATAATTTCAATATTAAGTGCAAAAGTTAACAGCAAAAGACACTTACGATTGATGAACAGCAAAAATATGCATTTTTTCACTGAGTAGTTGGCATTGCTGATGTATCCATCAACTTTAAACGTAAGTTTGGAGTCCTCATGGTGTACTTCAAGGAGTTCTCTGAAGAAAAATATATACTTGGTGAAAAACGATGAAACTATGATCACGTAGCACTTCTATATATATATATATATATATATATATATATATATATATATATATATATATATATATATATATATATATATTTTAAAAAATGAATTTAGAATAGATTTGTAATACATTTTAGGAAATCTATTTTAAATTTGACTATGATAAATTATGGTTACTACCAACACTTTCTGCATAACACAAATAATTTCTTCAAAGGCTACTCATTATAGCAAAAGAATTATGCACTTTTTACGGTAACTATAATCATTATGGTGACTAATTTGCTTTGTAAAAAAATAAAATAAATAAATAAATAAATAAATAGTTTTACTTTTTACCTTAATATTCTTACATGATATTTTCTTTTCTTTTATTTATTCATTTATTATTATATATTTTTTTATTTATTTATTGCATGAAAAAAAGCCATTTTAATACTGCAGCACTGAATGTAAAAAATATTGTTATAAAACCCAAAAAAAGTCCCCCTTTTTCCTAGAAGCACTTGATAACATTGACATTTAACTTCATGTTGATGTGATATTCTTCAAAATCGTCAAGTCCGACAGTCCTTTGATATACCGTATTTCTATAACAATGTCATGCGGAAATTCATCAATCTTACAAACATCACACACTCAGGCTAGTTCTCAGCTGTTCTTTCTAAAGTCGTCTAATTTTAAATAGGCCAGGTTATAAAACTGAGAACAGTCACACCATCTACATATCAATTTCTCTTTCAGTTGACAGTTAATTGCTTAGTTATCATCCTTCGCCTACAGGTGTGTCCACATAGAATGGATTCTATACGTGCCTCCTCCATTTTAAAATCATCAATCAACCACGCTTGTAATATTAGGGCTCATTTCCAATTAAATCTTCATTCAAAGTACATCGATCTAACTCAGCAAGACTCTCGCTGAATGTAAGCAGTTTAAACAACAGATTAACATGGCCCCTGTTGTTTCCAATGTACTCGTGTAATCACCATCTTTTGGGTATTCTACTCAACATGTGTTAATCTGTTAATCTGATTGCATTCAGCAAGAGTCCCTGCAGAGTTGGATCAATGTAGAAAAAGTATCATTGGGAATGAACCCTTAGACATTGTCAAGTAAGAATATTTAAAGTGCCATTACTTTATTTTTTATGTTTTATTCTTCCATTGGCATCACAGTTGCCAACATGACGTGCTCGAAATGTTAAGAATATGTGTAAATGCACAAAGTTGGCAAATCTGTGTTATATGTGTACAGTCTAATGGCATTTCTGCCTTTCTTTCATTTTTCTTCCTATCTTGCCTTGGACATACATTGCAAGTACCCATTCCCTGCACATAACTTTTTTTTTTCTTCTTGTGCCATTTTATTTTTATTTCAATGTCTGATTATATGTTTGCTTTAAGAAATCTTATAATGTATTGTGAATTGCCTTCTTTCCTTTCTGTATGGATTTAACAAAACACTGACCACTCTTGTTAATTTCCAAATTTAATAAATATACAAAATACACATTACAATTTCCAGACTACAATTTCCTTCAGCTTCAGTTTATGAACAATTTATACGTGTAATAATTATCCCCAACACCACTTAAAGAACCAAGGGCACTGAAGGCATATTGAATCTAAATCAAGAGAAGTTTCCTTCAATACATTGCTACGACCTGACAAATCCCTTCAAAACAGAGTCCCTGGGTACAGTTATGAACGAATGAATGGATCCATTTCAGAAAATTGGGATCTGACATAAAAATAAAACCCCAAGATGACACTTGAAAAACCTCAGATTTATTCCCAATGTGTTCCTTATTTCCAATATGGTCTTATCAAATTCTTGAAATTATATCTAGTTTCTCCACAATTGGTTTCTTCTTTTTTTCCCCTATTTTATAAGGCTAACTATACATTTAGGCACAAAAAAGCAGAGTAAAAGCAAAATAGTTTAATCAAAATGTTGCAGCTAGATGACGTTTATAAATATCTAAGGAACACTGCACATGCTGCTGTGTTATATCAGATGCAATGATATAATGAAAAAAGCAGAGACAATATGTTGCATGACTTCCAAAGTTAAATCAAAAGTGTAATTATGATATTAAGGCCAATCCAGGGCAACAAACCAGCTGTGTGCTTTGCCACGTGCTTTGGTGCAAAGAAATTAAGCAATTTACGATTAGCTTGTTGTAATATCAGAACTTGGCACAAGACATAAAACGACTTGAAATGCAACAGCGTACAATGCTATTCAAGATACCAACAGTCTGTTGTCTTGTGTGAAAACATTCACGACGCATATTTTTTATGGTGATAATTGTCATTAATGAGAATGATAAAGAAGCATGCTGGATACTCAGCCACTGAGTTGTACTGTTAAAGCATGTATAACAAGCACAAGCTTATTAGACTTTCAAATTTCAAACAGTTTATTTATGTACAACTTTTTTTTTAATTTTAACATTATTATCCTATTTTGTCAAACTTCTGGGAGAAAAACTCACTTTTTGGAGTTTTATAATAATATCAACTTTAATCAGGTATTATTATCAAAATTTTGTTGGGTAAGATACACAACATCTAAAATCAAAAGTTTATTATTATTATTATTATTATTATTATTATTATTATTATTATTATTGACAGTTAAGGGCATCCTTTATTTTTATAGTCAAGCAAAGGAGTCGAAAAAAAATGCTGCTCCTCAAGAAAAAAATCACTTTGACATGAGAATCCCATACAGAATACCTTTAAAAGGCTTTAATATTCTTCTGGGGCAAAATACTTCTTTATATAAATAGCCTATAATCTGTATCATGAGAAGAAACACTTCAATACTCAAAAGCAGTCCTTTTAAGTATTTCCCCAAAGAGTTTTTAAGTTGTCATTTGGACTACCAGTCTTCTCAGAAGACAACCAAATCAATATTTTCAATGATGGCCATAAGGCTTAAATTTTTTTGCATAACAGAATGTTTATAATTGCTTCATTAGCCAGGACAGGTTGAAGGGCTAGAGGATTTCTAGAAATTATTTTATGTGCCCAGATTATTTGATGAGTCAAGAAAAAACCAATTATACTAACTTTCTCCAAGCCATCATTAAACACTGGCCACTTAATACGCAAAAAAAAATCCAAAGTGCGTCACCAACCCCACATAACAAAGGGGCACCTCCTCCTCATACTTCCTACTGGCACTGAGTAAAATATAGAAAAGCTGGTGATTATATGAGTTAGAAACAAGGAGGCATTTTAGTCTGCCAATCTGATTGCATTCAGTGAGAGTCCCTGCACATTAGCTAGGTTGACAAAACCCATTGTGAACAGTCCCTAAGACCTGTTAAGTAACAAACTAAGAAACAAGATTCAGATTGCTTCAGTTTCTACACTGTGCTTTAATGAACACCTGTAGCTCAGATGCCTAGTTAAGATTGCATGGTTCATAGTTTACTCCTTGAATTCAGCATGCACAGCCAATCTCAAGAGAACACTCTATTGGCTCATATTCCTGCAAATTTTAAGGATGATTTTCAGTTTCAATATCGATATCTCAGTGACAGCAGGGCATGGTGCATTTTGCCTTCAAATATACACAATAGAGCAAGGTGGGCATTAATGTACAGAGTCAGCCTTTTTCATACAAAAAGCTGCATCCCAGCTATTTACCTAACCTGGTTCAAATCATTTTCTACATGATCACATGTATAGTGAGCTCCTTTGAGAAAATGCACGCGACACATAAAGTCTTGCATTTCCACATTGAGAGTGCAGCTACCAGCTGTTTACGGACTGAGTGCCATTTTTAACATGGAAAAGGTACGACCTCAATGCTTATCATGGCCATTTATAAAGCAACGAAAACTGTGATGTTACGTTTTACATTAAACACCCTTAAATTATTAATCAAGCATGGAACATTTATTTCTTGGCGAAAAAAAAAAAAAGAGAGAGAGAGAGAGAAAGGCCTTCTCTGCAGTCTTAGTGTCTATGTTTGTAAAAAAGCGGCATACCTGGCTTACCAAAGAATTCAATTTTGAGTGTTTAGTCCTTATGAAAGAAAAATAAACTAGGCATTTAAGGAGAAAAGGTTATTGACTAAAAATAAACTAACTTGGTATAACGCCATCCCACCACCAGTCACAATATTTCAACTTTTTAGACTCTCTTGAAAATTGATTAAACATTCAATCTTGCTAATTTGGTTGCCCTGTAAATACAATCCTGGGTAAATTATTGATTTTGGCAAAGGTCAATATGTTGTTTTACAGCTGGCTTTAAAAAAGTGAAATCAGCCAAGACTCTGTTATGACCAGAGTCTACAACACAACGTAAAGTCAATAATTGTTTAAATATTTGAATGTCAATGCCCTCCAATTTAGGACCACATCTATTCAAAAGTTTGTCATTTGACTGATCATTTGAGTTATTTTATTGGTCGAACAATCTGCCAATAGGCCATTAGTGAGCATCAAGTTTCGTGAGGACGCCTTCAGTCAGTGAGTTTGATTGTACTCCTCACATTCCTGCTTATTAGATCATATTTTATGCCTATTAAAAAACGACAATAATATTAATAATATCACATATAGTGACCTATATCAGTCCAAATCTGTCATGGTATGAACACACCTTTGTAGTAAAAATCCCATTAAAAATATGTCTCATATAAAGAGCACATCCCTTAAATGTCTCCCCATCTGACACCTTTATGTGTGGGACTACTGAACAAATAACCCACTGAAATCAAGCACTCGTGTTACCTTAGTCTAGCCTGAAAGTATGCACCTTAAGAGTGCCATAAAGCAGTGAAACGGAACCAACCTGCACACTGCATATAGGGCATATGTAAGTTCACATCTGAATTACAACATTATTATAGACATCTTTTAATAGTTTCAATTTTTTTTTTTTTCAGGAAAATTTGTGTGCATTAACCATAGAAAAAATTCCTCTTCTCCACCTCTGTTTTGGTTTAACTGTTGCCTATTAACTTTTGTCTGGTGTATAGTTTCATATCACTGCCTACTTGGAAGCAAGCCCAATTGCAACAACGCAGCAGCAACAAAATATGTAACTGCATGCTGAATAACGGTTATATATATTTTATGTCATTTCAGGTAATTGTCTGGAAAATCTCTCTGTAAATTTGCGACAGGAAACACTCTGCACCACCTTTGTCACCAACCTACACTGACTTCAACTGTTGAGGAAAAATAGCTAGAGGACACCACTTACTGTTGCGGACAAAAAGAGCTTTTGTGAAGAAAGGCCTCCAAACTACAGGAAATACAAGGTTTGTACAATGTATGCGCTTACGGGCTAAATCCATGTTAAGAGGGTTTTATAATGTTACCACTCAGAAAGCATTTCATTTATTTACTCTTTCACATATTCAGTGCCTTGATTGAAAAGACGTTCTCGCCTAGTCCAGATTTAAACTTCACTCTGGGGCAGGCAGACTTAAAATCAGTCCAGGTAAGATACACTGATAATT